ACAACGCAAATTAGTTTCTCATTAAAAAATTTACACACGCATTTTTTTGTCACATTGGCGGCAATCCCTGCAAGATGTCAGCACTCTCCCCCTTTCCCTTTCCCCTCTGGGTTCCCCGTGTTCATGCATCCAGTTTTCCTGGCCCTTCCTGAATCCTCGTCTTTGCTTTTGGGCACGTGTTGCCCATTTGGTCTCGTATACTTGACTGAACTAAGAAGCACGTTCCTCATGTGGGTCATTGTTTCATTTATAGGCCTGTCTAATTTCTGACCCTCAACAAGATGGACTGACACAGTGGCTGCAACAGTGGGCTCAAGCATAACAACGATTGTGAGGATGGCGAAGGACTGGGCAGTGTTTCGTTCTGTTGTACCTAGGGTCACTATGAGCCAGAACACACCCTACTCCAGTATGTACTTATGTTAACGGGTAACATCTGCAGACACCGTATTTCCAAACAAGGTCACATTCACAGGTACGGGGGTTGGGACTTGGACGCGTATTTTCCGGGACACAGCTCAATCCATAACCCAAACCAAACCCGTGGCTGTCAAGTCGATGCCAACTCATAGCGACCCTATAGGACAGAGTAGAACTGCCCCCTAGGATTTCCAAGGAGTGGCTGGTGGATTCGAACTGCCGACCTTCCGGTTAGCAGCCCAAATGCTTAAACCACTGTGCCACCGGGGCTCCATAACTCAATCCACAGCACCTACCCAATGGACACTGTCTGGGCTGCAGCAGCGCCTGGCCAGCCTCCACCCTTGGGGAAGACGGCAGATCCCCACAGTGAACGCTGTGTGTCACCGCGGGGCTTGGTGGCGTGCCTGGCGAGCGTGCCTGGGGCCCCACACCTCAGGCCCCCTGCAGTGCGGCCTGGCTCCCACCCACACTGACACAGAGACTAGCAGGAGGGAACTTTCAGTGCTGGGTGCTGGGTGTCTGGGTCTGAGGGATGGTGTTTTGGCCAGCTTGCTGTGTGACGGCGGCCGAGTCTCAGCCCTCTCTGAGCCTCACTGTGCCTGTCTTCCTGCAGTCCTTTCCTCGCAGATCCCAGGTCTTTGTGACGTTCCCTATTGGTTTTCCTACACCCAGCCACTACCACCCTCATCAAAGCCCCATCCTCACTCGCCTGGGTTTCTGCAACACCAGCCCGCCCCTCGTCTCTCCACCCCACTGCAGCTACCACAGACAGCTGAAGTCACCTGACAGTGTACATCAGATCCCCTCACTGCCACCGTTAAAACCACCCAGCCCCTGCCCTACTAGCCTAAAGTTTGGTGGTTTGAACCCATCGGTGCCATGGAAGAAAGGCCTGGCAATCTGCTTCTGTGAAGACTATAGCCAAGAAAACCCTATGGAGCAGTTCTACTCTAATGCATGGGGTGCCTGAGTCCGAACTGACTCCACGACAACAGGTTTGGTTTGGTTTTATTCTCAAAGTAGGAGGCAGTGGTGGCTCAGAGGTAGAATGCTCACCTTCCGTGCGGGAGACCCAGGTTCGAGTCCTGGCCGATGCACCTCATGTGCAGCTACCACTTGTCTGTCAGTGGAGGCTTGTGTGTTGCTGAACAGGTTTCAGACTAAGACAGACTAGGAAGAAAGGCCTGGAAAGCTACTTTCCCAAATCAGGAAATGAAAACCCTGTGGAGCACAAGGGTCCGATCTGCAGTGGATCAGACCACCAAGCCCACAGTCCTCACGTGGCCAGTGACAACCCACATGAGTGGGCTCTGGCTACCTCTCCTACCCTACCGCCCCTCCACTCCATCCTTCTTGCTGCTTCGAGAATTCACCAGGCGCAAGACTGCCTCAGGGCCTTTGCACGGGCTGTTTTCTCTGCCTGAACTGTCCTGTCTCCCTCCAGGGTTTTACGATTCTGGTTCCTCATTGTCCAGGTCTCAAGGGGTTCCCTGACCCTCTCAGCCACTCTCGGTCATACCCCCGGTATATTTTTGCCGGCTCCCCTTCCTCCCTCTGAAAGTATCTGGTTCAGCATCTGACTCCCTCTGTGGGAATGTCACCCCCCAAGGGAAGGGGCCGTGTCTGCTTTGCTCACCGCTTTCCCCCTAATGCCTGGCACACAGCTCGACAAGTGCTTCTTGAATGCTGACGAATGAACGTTTGGGAGGCCTGGGCTCCAATGTCGGCTTCGGGGCTAACGAACCCTGCGGTCTCGGGCAAGCCGTGTCCCCACCCTGAGCCTGCGTCCTCATCAATCAGAGGGGTGGACGATGCCCACCCTGACCTCACAGGCTTCTGGGAGGACCAGGAGACAGGGAGGGTGGAGGGGGCGGGTCTGGGGCCACCCTTCTCCTCGGCTTCTCCTTGTAGGACTAAGGAGGTGGCTCCAAGGCTTTGTTGATTTTGTTTTTGTTGTTGGTTTGTGACTTAGGAGACTCATATGTACAGAGTGGAACGGCTCCATAGGGTCCTTATGGGACCAGGAAAGTGGTTCCAAAGCTTCGGAAGGATGTTCTTGACCGAGGGGTGGCTGGGGCACTTGGAGCAGCTGAGCGATGCCGTGGGCTGAGGCTTTTCTGGGGATGGAGGAGTACCACCACTAGGGGGCGACCGCGGCCAGGCTGTCAGCGAAATGCACCCGGTTGAAATGCTGCACAGCTTCGCAGACGTTTTTGCCGTTAAAAAAAAAATCCTTTCTTTTATGGAACGATGGGGATTATAGGCGGTTGTTTAAAAGACGTGTCCCCATGTGCCCAGATGAACACACCAGTGACACTAGTTTGGTCCCCAAAAGGTTTCGGGGAAATTTTAGGCCCAGGAAATCCCAACACTAGTCTGTTGGGCTGGTGGGACCAGGGGTCAAGGTTTGGGGATTCCAGAAGAGGCTGTAAGGAGAGAGAATGACCACAACCCCCTTCCCCAACACACACACACACAAGCAATACAAACACATGAACACATACGCAGACGCGTGCATGCACGCACAAGCGCACAAGCGCACAGTAATACACATCTATGCACGCATGTGCACACAAAGCAATTCAAACGCATGAACACATATGCACACATGTGCACGCACACAAGCACATGCAAACACACGGACACATACAAGCACATGCAAACAATTGCACACGTCATACACATCGATGCACACACATATGTACTTGCGCAAAGCACATGCAAACACACCTGCACACCCGCGCGCACGCACGCGCACACACACACACACACTCACAGGGAGAGGAAGACCCAGAAAGATCTAGAACAATTCACGTGTCTGGCACCAAGGGAAACAAATACCTACACGTTTCCCGAATTTGCAGCGTCAGACACAGGACTTGGGGGGGGGGGCTCTCACGTTCCCTCGTTCCTTCAGGCAAAGGTTGCACGCACAGTGTCCAAGAGAGGAGAGCGTAGTGTAGTCAAATTTATTTCCATGAATGTTCAGCCACAGTGCTCTGTGGGTTTGTGCCCATTCACTTTTTAAAAAAATGGTTTCCACGAAAGGAATTTTGGTAATCACCTAATTCTTAATACAATATTATTTAAATACAAAAAACCCCTATTTCAAACTACTGACTGTACAAGAGAAAACAGAAGCATCAGATCGCATGATTTGAGCAAACAAGCAAAATCTATGACACTCATGGACTTGGATCAGAGTCTGCAGATTACGGGAGTGTCCACACCACACCGATGCCGTTTGCAAGACACACACATTAATCCTGCTATTTTCTCCCCTTTGGCGAAACATTTCTTTTTATGTTTCTCTTGGTGTTTGAGACAGCTCAGATAATCGGTTGGTATAATCACTGCAAGTTTAGATCATTCATCATTTAGGGGACTTGTTTTTAGAAACTTTTAAAATGACAATTGTCCAATAGTGACATTCCTGTAAGTAAAAATATAGAGAAGTGTTACCAAAATAGAAGCCTTTATTAATAAAAATCTTTGGTAGTAATGGTACTTTAAATTCCTCTCAATGATATTTGGTTAATTCACTAAGAAACTCCTTCCGCCTTTAAGCTGCAGATAAAGAAAAAAAACCCCTCAAATCCACCAGAGAATTGATTTTTAAAAAAAAAATCAATAAATATTCTAGCGCTGTGAACATACCCCTGGAAGTCTTAAGACTTCTTGAAATCCTTAAGCCATCTTTGGGAACACCACTGAGGTCTCTGTCCCTGGGTTTCCCTGTGCAGCTGGCTATATCCCACAATGAAAATGGACAGTTCTAAGGTCGGCTCAGTGGGCTGGGGGTGGTGGGTGTGTGGCAGGGGGGCACCAGGGGCGCTGGTGACCTGCTTAATCATGGACCCCAACGCATTCTAGCCCTCCAAGAAGAAAACAGAAACTCCCGTGCTCTCCTGTGGACAGGGCGGGGGTGCCCCTCTCTCTGACCCGCGTGTCTCAGCTTCTGAACTCACGGAGGGAAAAGCTGATTAAAAATCTTTGAACTTTTCTGACATAGAGGCAGGCAACACCTTTCAGAACAGATGCCAGCTTTGTTTATCCCACATCAGCTCCTCCTTTCTCCCTCAAAACCCATCCGTGGTACCCCTCCAGCTCCAGAGCCCCCAGCAGGGTCGGGCTGAGGCCCCTCCAGCCCCTCCTTGCTGAGCTCCGTCCCTGCCTCGCCCAGCTCCCCACACTGCTTCGCTTCTCCGCTTCTGCTCAAGCCTCGGAATCCCATTTTGCTTGTATTTTAAGGCATCAGGAAGATCAAAAAACGGTGATTTCAACGCAAAGGAGACTCCTGTTTTCCAAGAACTGTTTCTGCAAAGCACCCGCATCGCTGCGTCTGAGCAGCCTGCGGCCAGCAATCATTTCCCTTCACCTGGAATTACGCTAATGACAAGAAACTCCCCGCGTAATGGTTTTGTGCAAAAACTAGGAAAGAACGAAAAAAGGAAAGAGAAATGTCCTATCGGAAAGAGGCCCTCCACGTGAGGAAAACACAGGCTCTGCCGGGCGGCCGCCCCGGAGAAGGGTGCCCGTGGGGGGATGCCCGGTGGCCTGGCTGCCTCACCCAGCGGCTACAGGGCGCCCCCGTGGAAGGTGGGGCTGTCCAGGCCGGCTTTGGCGCTGTGGTTGTTGCACGGCTCGTCCCGCTTGCGGTCCTTCTCCATCCAGGTCTCCAGCAGCTGCTGCTTCCCCTGCTCCTCCCGCATGAACAGCTCCACCATGAGCACCTTCTCCTTGTGGATCTGCTGGCTGATGTCCTTGGGGATGTCCGGGATGACCCAGTCCACGAAGTCACTCATGAACATGACCAGGTTCTGCAAGGAGAGTCAGCTTGTGGGGGCCTGGAAGGAGGGAATGCGCCGTCCACTCTACCTGTGTCCCACCTGGCAGTGGCTGCCCCACCTGGCGGTGGCTGCCCCGCCACTCCCCAGCCCTATGCCCTCTGACAAGCCCCTTCACCTCTCTGAGCCTCGGTTTCCCTGAAGGTCTAACCAACCAGTTGCCATCAAGTCAACTCTGACTCATGACGACCCTGTGTGTGTCAGGGTAGAACTGTGCTCCACAGGGTTTTCAGCGGCTGGGTTTTTGGTGGTAGATTGCCAGGGCTTCCTTCTGAGCCGCCTCTGGGTGGACTCAAACCTTCAGTCTTTCAGTTAGCAGCTGAGCATGCTGACCGATTTCGCCACCCAGGGACCCCATAGGTAGATAGATAGACAACCAGCTGTTGTCGAGTCAACTCCAGCTCATGTGACCCCATGTCTGTCAGAGTAGAACTGCGCTCCATAGGGTTTTCAAGGTTGTGACCTTTTGGAAGCAGATTGCCAGGCCTTTCTTCTGAGGTGCCTCTGGGTGGGTTTGAACTGCCAACTTTGTGTTAGTAGCCAAGCGCTTAACTGTTTGAGCCAACCAGGGACTCCTTCTGACAGAATCTGAACCCCACAAATAGGAAACGTCTCTGAAAAATTCTGAATTCCTTATCTGTGAGACTTAAGAAACGATCTGACGCGTCACGAATCACCAAATAATCACCAATGTTAAGGCTTTGAGGAAACTTCCGGAAATAAGAGACAGCACAAAAATGCATCAAGCGTCATTTAGACCGTCCCTGATGATTCAGCAGGCCCCTCTCACGGGATGTGCCTGAACACTTGCCGCCTCCCCAGAAGGTGGATAAAATGCAAGGTCAGTCGGCTGTTATACTGAAAACCCCAAATCTTCTTGTTTTTGGGAAACTTCTGCCCATGAGCACTTCAGCAGCTTCAGCTGAGGCAGTTGCCTGTGCTGTGGCCGATGCTGGGGTGATGCTCCCAGTTCCCAGCTGCGGCCAGTGCTGGCTAGTAATGGCTCACAGCTGCCCCTTCCCCAGGGTCCTGGCCCCCACTGGAGGTCAAGCACACCCCCTCCCACCTCCCTGTTCCCGACGGGGCAGCCCGCAGCCAAGGGATGTCCACTCCGGGCATCTGAAAGGTGGCCTCTTGCTTCAAGGGGGGGGCCAGGTTTGTGATGCCCCTCCCGCACCAGGGCCCCCCCGCAGGATCGGGCCAAGGCCGCCTCCAGCCAAGACCCCTCTTTGCTAAGCTCCGCCCCTGCCCTACCCAGCTCCCCACACTCCTCTTCTCTGAGGGCCCTCCCTCAATAACCTGCTTGCACAAAACTCTTACCCAGGGAGGATTATCCAATAAGCAAGGTAAGCACCATGCTTACCAGATCATCCGTAGTGAACCATTTCACATTTTTTCACCACATCAGAGATTCTGCTTCTAGGTATGGCTGGCATCTGTCTCTCTCCCAACCCCACAGCACCTTCCTACGAAATCAAGGCCTCTTCAAATTTACAATCCCTGACAGGGACCAATGACCCAGTAAGTAAGGTAAGCACGGGCTTACTTGTGTTTCCTTACTAATCATTACAGATGATCTGGTAAGCAAGGTAAGCGCCGTGTTTACCCTGCGTATTGGATAATAAGAACGAACAAATCTGTCTTGGAAGAAGTACGGCCAGAAAACTCAGTCACTGAAAAGCCTGTGGAGACTCTGACACGTGTGGGGTCGCCGTGAGTTCGTGTGGACTCAACAGCAGCTGTTTTTTCTGGCCTTCCCCGAATGAGTCCAAGCCCTTCCCCGAATGAGTCCAAGCCCTTCCAGGTGTCTCTCCTTGTTTTGCTGAGTTTCTCCGGGGCCTGTTGTTGCATAGGGCAGGGGTCAGCCCACCCTTCTGGGGATCCTAGAGCGAGTTCTCCAGGCCGCCC